AAGTTAAGTTTTCCCTTCAATTAGTTCCTCAGCTGAACCACCTGTAGCTATGAGTGTCTACAGCAGTGAGAATGCACTTCAGTGTCATTCCCAGGAACCAGCAGCATTCCCAGAGCAGCTCCTGAACTGTGCCTCCTCTGCAGTCAGCCCTGTCCAGCTCACTTTCTCCTCTCACACATTCCTCCCTCAGTCTGTCCTGCAGTAACCCACTCCCTTGATCCTTAGTAGATTTTACTCAGGACAAATCCTCCCATACAAAGAAGCTGTAGGAAGGCATTGAAACCTTAATGGATACTAATGGTGCAGCTAAATGGTCTGTGCTGCTGCCTCAGTGACCCCAGAGTGCCCTGAGCCAAGGGGCAGTGCAGAGGATGCACTTGCAGAGAGCTCACACCACCTCAGGAACACCACACCACTTTGAGCTTTCCTGCAGTGTCCTGTGCACAGGGAAAACCCTTCCCACTCTAAGGCACTCAGCCTGGGTTCTGTCAGCTGCAAACCAGAGCACTGATGCTGTTCTCAGCGTTTCTGTCCCCTCCCCATGGCTACAGCAGCCAGCAGTGACCCACACAAACAAACAGTGCCCTGGAGACCAGGAAGGTGCAGAACAGACCTGTGCTTGGCCCCGAGGCAGCACTCACAAAGCCACACACAAAGGGCTAAACACGAGCCTCTGGTCACTAGGCAAATGTTTACAAGGGCTATTAAGGCACAAGAGATGGGAGAAAACATTTGCAAGTGGAATGAGTTTGAGTTAAAACTGCAGTACAGAGTTGTACCGAATACTCACAGTCCCAGTGAAAACCTCCACACCAGCAGCAGCCCCTGGCACAGGGTGAAGAAACCTCCCAGGACCTACAGACACTTCGAGGCACAGAGGGGAGGGTTCACTATCTGCAGCTGCTGCAGGAATAAGCACAGCACAGGTTAGTCAGCAGCACCAGAGGAGAAGTGCTGGGAATCCTTGTGCCTCCCCACACACAGGGATCTGCTCCCAGGATGGGACAGAGGAGGCACCTGAAGGCTGCACAGCCCACTCAGCTGCCCAGGGGAAAGGGGAGCTCACCTGCTGCCACACTTGGTGAAAAGGAGACTTCCTCATTTTTATTTAGACCTGCTGCCACACTTGGTGAAAAGGAGTCTTCCTCGTTTTTATTTAGCATAGAATCAACCAGGCTGGAAAAGACCTCCAAGATCATCAAGTCCAACCCTATCGTGGTTACTAGACCATGGCACGAAGTGCCACATCCAGTCTCAAAGTAAAACCTTATCTGACGAAGTCATTGAGACCACCACGTTTTATTTCTATATCCATTTATTATTCCAGTCTGTAAAAATATAAGACTAATATACAACTACATCTAGCTTGATTCTGTAAAATCAATCTTCATTCAGTGAGATACCAATGTACATTATACATTAAAGTTGTAAGAAAAATACTGATATTTGACATTTTAAACAAGTTCATTCATGTAAAAATCACATTGCAAGTAAAATTTAATTAGAAAATACATAATATTCACAAAAATACACATGTTAAAGACAGCTTGTGAGAACATTGCCCTAGATTTAATTCAGGTGTGGAAAAAAATGTGATTCACAGTTAGGCTTGACTTCTCCAGTACCATAGCAGAACCTCAAAGAAAATGCATCTTAATTCTATTAAGAATTTGTTCTTTTTCCTATTAAGGTGCACTTAGATCTCCCAGGCACAAGGGAGGAAGGACCTGTCCTCCCCTCTGTGCATGTCCACAACACATAACACTAGGCAAAGGAGTTTCAGCTTTTCACTCCACTTGGAAACAATTTGGGTATTTATAAATTAGTTTATAAAATCTGGGTTGAAAACACAATTTACACACACAGATAGTTCACACACAAAGTTACACCCATAGCAGCGAGTCTTGGCGGTCGAGTGCAGCATCCTCACCCTCACCTTCACCTCTGGAGTTTGCTTTGTTAAAGACAAAACCTCTATAAAACAGTCAAGCCTCGAAGTATTTTCTTCCAGGGAGAAAACAGGAAAGGTGTTAAAAATTGAGGAGGTAGTGAGTGAAAGGCTAACAATATCAGCATATTTAAAAACCCCATACTGAACCCCAGTGTCATTTGTATATAAAATTGAGTTTAGCCACTCGTAATCAACTTTTGATCATCCTGAAGTAGCAATTTAAAAATCTCTGGTAATTTACAGTTTATGCATTAGTAAGATATGGAAGAACTTTAGAAACCTTATGGTAACTGCAGCATTAAGCACTTACATGCTGTGCAGTCTGTCATTGTAGCTGTAAATACATTAAAACCCACTTTTAGGTTTACTCTTTGATGCTTTTATTGAGTCCCAAATGCTTAGTTTTACTACATGTTACCAAACTTCTGTGAAACAGAACATGATATATGTCGAAAAGAATCTTACCTCACATTTAGATTAATCAGTTTGCAGGAAAGGTCCCAAGAGACGAGTTCTCATGCAGTTTAGAGTAGAATCCCAGTTACATTTCTACAAGTCCTTAATACTGGCATACGTACTCAGAGTGTTCATGCACCTGCTCCAAGCACAGCCTGGTGGCAGCACAGCAGCTCCCCTGCCCCTGGGCACTCCCAGCTCAGCCCTCCTGGGAAGTTCACAGCCCCAAGCTAGGATCCAAGCTGCAAAATACTCACGGGCCACCCGAGCCCCAGAGTGGATTTCCATGGAATGAAAACATTACACCTGCACCAAGTGCACTACCAGTTCACTCTGTACCTGTGGACCTCGTTTCTCTTCCCATCCAAGTGCCTTTACTCCTCTGGCTATTCACAATACATTCAAGTAAACCAAAGGCACAGAAGTGCAAACTAGCAGAATGATGAGCCTCACTCTCCACTGGTGATTTCAGACAGGAAGGAAAGTCTTTTGATAAAGGAAACAAAGATATTTTAAAGTAAACAATCTTCCTTAAAGGAAGGAAGTATAGAGCAGCACTGAGAGAAAACATGTATAGGTAAAGTCTACATGTTGCAGAATGGACATTTCTTTTCCTCATTTCATGTGGACGTAGGTACTTCATTTTTAGTAGTGATCAGCCAAACAAGGGAAACACTTCCTAGTTCTTGCTGCTGCAGTGAAAGGTCCTGGGGCCTCTCCAGACACATTGAAGGACCCATAACCAAACCTGAGAGCAGAGCCCACTCCCCTGCACTGCAGGGTACCACTGCCTGCTGTGCCTGCTCTCCACGGAGCCAGAGGGAGGAATGCTCTTGGCATCTCTGAGACTCAGACTCCCACGGCATTGGAGGTATGGGAATACTGCTGCCCACGAGACACCCATTTCAAATGCACCATGTAACATCAGCCCACAGGGTCCCTGCAGCACCACAGAGACCAAACACACGTGGCTGGAGCCTCTGACAGTCTGGGAAGACCTTCACAGATGCCTTAACATGAAGCTTACAGTTAGTCTCCTGTTAGTAAAGTTAACAGAGGTAGATGTTTCCTCAAGATGAACTGAGGGGAAAAACAGAAAGGGGTTAGACTCCCTTCCCATTCATCCTGTCTCCCCACAGGGCAGAACATGCTCCCAACACAACTCCTGGCTCTGGTCAGCACAGGACCAGAGGTCAGAACTGGTAGCACCCTCATTCCCACTTAGAGGCTGCCAGAGAGCACAGGATCCCTGGGGAGAGGCTCCAGCCACCCTTCTCCCCATCTCATTTTCCTGTTCCCAGAGTAGGGTCGGGCTGGGAACCAAGTGCCAGAGTGGTAAAGCAGGAGATAAAAACAGGGAAAGGGAAGAAGAGTGGCAGAAGCCTCTCCCTGCAGCTCTCCCAGCCAGTGTGCAGCTGCCTGCACACACCTATGTGCTTGCAGCATCAGGACTTGTCCTCAGTGTTTTGTGGCACACAAAGCAACTCTGTAATATTCAGAACCCCCAGCCATAGGCACAGAGATCTGCATTTACAGTTCATTAGCATGACTAAGTTAACATCACATGGCTCAAACAAGTTCTAGGAAAGCCTCATTATGATTTAAAACTTCTTTTTTAATCCAGGGATTTAATTTAAACCATTCTAACTTGTCCAGGTTTGAAGAAACTCATCTTTACATAACTCAGACTCACTACACCAAACCTTTGCTCATAAAAACCTTTACAGCTTCTACTGGGACTGCAATTTTAACAGATTATGTTATGCTATTTCCATAGCCATACCTTTACATTTGATTTCTTTGTAGTTTCCTGGGACTAGCAACCAAATCCAATGATATCCTTAGCTATTGCCAACTAAAATGAGAACAGGTCTTTGATCCATTAGAGTTAAGACTTTCACATTTGAATTTCAGAACCAGAGTCATTAAAGCCAGCAGAGGTGCATGGCTGAGGAGCCTATGGTTGCACAGGCACTCACTAAGGGCCAGGCAGCTCTGGCAGCCTGAGCCCCGAGCTGACAGCTGCCAAGGTGTGAGCACCACCACATAGCCCTTGTGCCCACTGTGTCAGCCAGGGAGCCCAAGCAGCCACCACAGCTCTGCCCACTCCACCTCTGCCTCATCTTTCAGCCCCACAGACACTCTGCCAGCTGAGCAGCAGCCCAGACAGAAATGAGGTGGCTAAAGCAGCACTTGAGATGAACATGAAACCACAGTACATTAGGTAGCCAACCTCACACGTATGGAAGTTTCCTTCTATACAACCAGTAGTTTTCAGCATTAAAAACAATAAAAAAAATAATCAAGTACCTTTAAAAGAAAGCTCACAGCCATCTCTTAGCTATCCTTCATTTTCAATTTCCCACATCCAGCCTCAGCCACTTATCAATTATCTTCCAGCTTGGTGAAGTATTTACATTGAAGTGCAGAATTAATGCAGTTAGTCAACTTACATAACCTTGTGTTTACTTTTTTCCCTCCTTTTCATCTAACTGCAGTGCCTGGTGGATGGAGAGGTATAAGCTGTATTCCATAGAGCCCAATTCCAACGTCCCTGGCATCCTTACGGAATGCCACACACCCCAATGTCACTTCATAGTGTTATGATAGTTCCATCCTCCTCCAACGCCTTCCGCCCTGCGTCTGGTGCTTCATACTCCATGCTGATGCTGCCTGCTGAGTGAGTCAAGCTCAGCTCCCTGGAGGGAAGGAATCCATTCTGGGTGGACTCGTGGAGGAGTTCGATCTGTGACAGTGACTCTATGCTGTCGCTGGTGGCCGAGGCTTTGGGGATCTGCCGCGGCTCACCGCTGTCCTCGATGATAATGTCCTCCTCGTCGCTCTCCTCCTCTCCCTGCAGGAAGCTGCCCAGGATGTTGGGTGTGCTGCTGGGCAGGCTGGACTCCGTGGACTGGCCGGAGCTGCCAGAAGTCCGACTGTTCCTCACCACGTTGTTCCTCTGGTTGGCTGGTCTGACGGTGATGATCAGGTTGCGGCTGTTGGCGATCATCATGTCTGTCACCTGATCCAGGCTCTTCCCCGACACCTCTATTCCGTTCACCTCCAGCACCTCGTCGTTGACAGCCAGCAGGCCCGTGCTCTGAGCCAGCCCCCCGGGCACCAGGCGGGATATGAAAATCCCTGGCACCTTCTCCAGCCCGTGCGGCGTCACCCTGACGCTGGAGCCGTCGCGGATGTAGAAGCCGAGCGGTTTGTCGGTGCCGTACTTGTACAGCCGCACCCTGCGGTGCGTCTCGGGCAGGATGTCCACGTCGATGATGGAGGACACCGGCCTGAAGTCCTGGGGCATGCTGATCACAATGTGGGGCTTCTTCTTGTGGTTGTCTGCACGCAACACGGTGGACAGCACGTTCTTCTTCCTCGTCATGGTGTCCGTCCCGAAGGCACTGTAGTCTGCGTCTTCTGCAACACACAGCACAGAGGGTTAGGGCCCCACTCACACTGATCCACCTCAGCCAAAAGGTTTACTACAGCACCAACATTTCCCTCTGCTCAGGAAGCAAGAGCTTCAGTGTTAGGAGATTGAAGGTTTGTAACACATTTGGGTTTCTTCTACCCAAGAGAGTACACACCAAGACTTAAAACAAGTTAGCAGCAGCAGACACAAAGGGCGGTGGCTGCT